CCAGAAGTAGGCGGTTCTGGTCCAGAAGCAGACGATTTAAAAGTCGACACCCCCGGGCCAGAAGTCGACGCCCCCGGACCAGAAGTCGACGGTCCAGAGGTCGACGGTCCAGAGGTTGACAGTCCAGAAGTCGACGGTTCAGAAGTCGACGGTTCAGAAGTCGATGGACCAGAAGTCAACGCATCCGGACCAGGAATCGACGCCCCCGGACCAGAAGTCGAAGGCGGTCGACGCCCCTTCCAGTCTATGGTCAACGCCTCTTCGTGTTCTGAAGTCGACGCCTCTTCGTGTTCTGAAGTCAACGCCTCTTGGCGTTCTGAAGTCGACGCCTCTTTGTGTTCTGAAGTCGACGCCTCGTCGTGTTCTGAAGTCGATGCCTCTTCGTGTTCTGAAGTCGACGCCTCTTCGTGTTCTGAAGTCGACGCCACTTCGTGTTCTGAAGTCGACGCCTCCTCGTGTTCTGAAGTCGACGCCTCATCCACGTCAGAGGTCGATGCCTCCTCGTGTTCTGAAGCTGACGCCTCATCCACTCCAGAGGTCGACGCCTCATCCACTCCAGAGGTCGACGCCTCATCCACTCCAGAGGTCGACTCCTCTTCCAGTCCAAGGGTCGACGCGTCTTCCAGTCCAAGGGTCGACGCCCCCGGGCCAGAAGCCGACGCCTCCTCTGAAGTCGGCGCCCCCTCTGAAGTTGGCTCCCCCTCTGAAGTCGGCGCCTCGTCTGAAGTCGCCCCCCGTCTGAAGTCGGCGCTCTTTCCACTCCAGAGGTCGGCGCTCTTTCCACTCCAGAGGTCGATGCTCCCTCTAGTCCGACGTCTCCGCCGTCCCCAGTTTCGTGGTCGACACAGTCTCCAGTTCCAGTGGTGGTTCCGGAGGTCGCACCGTATCCGGTCCAGCCTGTCCAAGAGACTTTGTCTCCGGTCCAGCCTGCAAAGGCTATGTCCCCGGTCCAGCCTGCAGAGACTTTGTCCCCGGCCCAGCCTGCAGAGACTTTGTCCCCGGCCCAGCCTGCAGAGACTTTGTCCCCGGTCCAGCCTGCAGACGCTTTGCCCCCTGTCCAGCCTGCAGAGACTTTGCCCCCGGTCCAGCCTGCAGAGCTCCCCTGCCGTAAACGCCGGCCCCCAAGAGCCTGTCGTCGCCTCCTCCTCTGCCGCAGGTGCAGGCCTCCAAGAGCCTGTCGTCGCCTCCTCCTCTGCCGCAGGCCTCCAAGAGACTGTCGCCTCCTCCTCTGCCGCAGACGCAGACCTCCAAGAGCCCGTTGTCTCCTCCTCCTCTGCCCCAGGCTGCCTCCTCTTCATCGGTCCCTCCGGGTCCCTCTCCTCCGACCCTGCTCTGTGTTCCTGTGGGCGTCTGGAATCCTCCCTTTGAGGGGAGGGTACTGACACACCCTGTCCTGTTTCCCCATTTTGGTTCAGCCTTGTGTCTCGTTAATTGCTCCCACCTGCCTCTCATTTCCCAATCACCTAAGCTCCCGGCCCTCGTGTATTTAAGCCCCTTCTGTTCTGTGTCATGTGTCGGTCCATTGTTTCAGTGTCCTGCGTGTTTCTAATTAAAGTTAATGACAAAAACGTCCTACCTGTCTGTCTGTCTTTCTCCCCGCGTGTGGATCCTCGCCTCACCTCCGCTCACCTCACCAACACGCCGTGACAATAAGTCAAGAGCAATGTGGTTTTCTTCCTGGCCGTGGAACACTGGACCAGCTCTATACCCTTAGGGGGTCCTAGAGGGTGCGTGGGAATTTGCCTAACCAGTCTACATATGTTTTGTGGATTTGGAGAAGGCGTATGACCGTGTCCCTCGGGGGTCCTGTGGGGGGTACTCCAGGAGTATGGGGTACCAGACCCTCTGATACGGGCTGTTAGGTCTCTGTATGACCAGTGTCAGAGCTTGGTCCGCATTGCCGGCAGTAAGTCCAACTCTCCTTCCCAGTGAGAGTTGGACTCCACCAAGGCTGCCCTTTGTCACCGATTCTGTTCATAACCTTTATGGACATGATTTCTAGGCGCAGCCAAGGTGTGGAGGGCATCCGTTTTGGTAGCCTGAGGATCAGGTCTCTGCTTTTTGCAGATGATGTGGTCCTGTTGGCTTCATCAGAACGTGATCTTCAGCTTTCGCTGGAGCGGTTCACAGCCGAGTGTGAAGCAGCTGGGATGAGAATCAGCTCCTCTAAATCTGAGACCATGGTCTTGATTCGGAAATGGGTAGAATGCCTTCTCCGGGTCAGGGATGAGGTCCTGCCCCAAGTGAAGGAGTTTAAGTATCTCGGGGTCTTGTTCATGTGTGAGGGAAAACTGGAGCCTGAGATCGATAGGTGGATTGGTGCTGCTTCTGCAGTGATGCGGGCGTTGTACCGGTCTGTCATGGTGAAGAGAGAGCTGAGTCAGAAGGCAAAGCTCTCGATTTACCGGTCGATCTACGTTCCTACCCTCACCTATGGTCATGAGCTTTGGGTAGTGACCGAAAGAACGAGATCGCGGATACAAGCGGCCAAAATGAGTTTTCTCCAAAGAGTGGCTGGGCTCTCCCTTAGAGATAGGGTGAGGAGCTTAGTCATCCGGGAGGGGCTCGGAGTAGACCCGCTGCTCCTCCACATCGAGAGGAGCCAGTTGAGGTGGCTCGGTCGTCTGGTCAGGATGCCTCCTGGACGCCTCCCTGGTGAGATTTTCCGGGCACGTCCAACTGGGAGGAGACCTAAAGGTAGACCCAGGACACGGTGAAGGGACTATGTCTCTCACCTGGCCAGAGAAAACCTTGGGATTCCTCTGGAGGAGCTGGCCCAAGTGGTTGGGGAGAGGGAAGTCTGGGCCTCTCACCTTAGGCTACTGCCCCCGAGACCCGACTCTGGATAAGCTGGATGATGGATGGATGGATGGATGGATGGATGGATGGATGGAAAAAAACCAACAAGAATCCCTTTTAGATATAAATACTCTGAGCTTTAAAATCCTGCAAGAAGTATTTGATCTCTCATGTTCTTTACTCCAATCACCTTCTTTTTTAAATCACCAAATATACAGATTAACCTGTCAGCCGAACTTAAACACATAAAAACTTTCCCTTGATAACATCCTACTGTTTCAGTCAGCAGGTCGGAGTTTCCTCACGTCTCGTCTTGGCTGTAAACCTCCACATTAAGATGATAAAATCTTTATGTTGTGCTTATTCACCACTAAAAAGCTGGCCGGCCTTTCTGTGGAAGAGCTGCAGACAGGATGACAAACTCCTCTCGTGGAACCGAGCATCGTAATAAATGTACTTTAACGTGATATTTTGCTGCTGTTTCAATTCAATTCAATTCAAGTTTATTTATAAAGCATCAAATTACGACAAGAATCGTCTCAAGGCACTTCATATTGTAAACACTCCAATACAGGTCAGTTCATTAAGCCAATCTGAAAAAAGTTTCCTATACAAGGAACCCAGCAGGTTGCATCGAGTCACTGACTAGTGTCAGAGACTTTACAGCAATCCTCATTCTAAGCAAGCATTTAGCGACTGTGGAGAGGAAACCTCCCTTTTGACAGGAAGAAACCTCCAGAGGATCCTGGCTCAGTATAAGCAGCCATCCTCCACGACTCACTGGGGATGGAGAAGACAGAGCAGACACACACACACACACACACACACACACACACACACACACACACACACACACACACACACACACACACACACACACACACACACACACACACACACACACACACACACACACACACACACACACACACACACACACACACACACACACACACACATACGCACACACGCATACACACAACGCATATACCAATTAATGTCTCTATGGTTACATTGTGATTACTTAGTAAATATTCTATTTGGTGAGAGATAAACTTTATTGTATTTATCCTAGTGGATCTATAATTAAACGGGTAAACTAGTAGTAGCACATTCATTCTGCAGGTTTCTATATTCACTCGTTTTAGGTGTTTAGTTCGTTTAAGTGTTCGGAATTTAATAAGACTGACAAATTAGGATTTCAACATCAATATCTGATATTATCAGCTTATCATCGTCAGCTGATATCGGCATTAAAGGAAACGATCGGTTTTGTCTCTTTTAATGACACAACTTTCATAAACCATCATACACATCATACCTCAAACTCTGCAGCTACTTCTCCTTTCTCCCAAAATGTGAAAGTAGGACAGATCTGACATTTTTGTCTCATTTGCACATAATGTTTCATATTTAGGGTTGGTGTTAGTTTTTCTTTTTTTAGAGAGAGGGATCCCAGCGTAATATTGGATAAAAGCATCAAATGTGGACTTCTTCTTTAGAAAATCTGCAGGTCCTGTCTGCTGTCAGTGACCTTGTCTTGGGTCCGGTCGTGGAAAATATATTATCTCCCGAATAAACCTGGAATATTGTTACATTTTCAGAAAATTAAATCCTGAGGAAGTGAACTTTGTTCTGCTTTTATTGTGTTCATAAATGGGGGTTGGAAAGTGTTATTGCTGAGTAAAATATAAATAATGAGACTTTTTATAGAATAAAACAAACTTTTTATGTGAAAACTGAAATCCTTCAAAATAAGAGCCGCAGCAGGCTGCCTCATCTGAAGCTCATGGAAATAATTTGGTTCTCAGGTGGAACTCACTCAGATATTCCCAAACACCAATTATTTTGTAATTGTTTAAACAAATAAGTGAGGCTGGTAGGCCTTGTTTTCTGTTTGATGTCCAAACATAAATATGCAAAATTAAAATAATTTCAACGAAATGTTTTCCCCTGCGACGGACTGGCTCTGTCCAGGGTGTACCACGCCTGATTGCCCATTGACCGCTGGAGATGGTTCAGACAATGGATGGAATGATGGACAGAAATGTTTTCCCTAGATAAACCCTCTGGTCCGATTTTAAGACCTTATATCAGAATGAGATTCCGGTGAGCAGGGGGCGTTTCTCTGTGCAGCAGGTGAGCCCCGCCCCCCCTGCTCTGACTGGCTGTCCTCGCCAGGTATTAAATCCTACCTGTGGGTTCAGAAGTCAACAGGAGAGTTGTGGATTTTCTTCAGCTTCTTCCGCTGAAGTCGGTGAGCGCTCGGCCCGTGTTTACTCTAACCCTGGTTCTGTTGGAGATCTGAGTCTGATGGCAGCGGGAGTCGGACTGGCCATGAATCCGCCGCATGTGCCCGAAGAACGGGCGGTGTTCACGCAGCTCAAACCGGTCCGGATGTCGGCGGCGGACGGAGCTGAGGACACGTCTGTGTTTGAAGACGTCAAACCCGGGGTGAGAATGCAGGTTTAACCCTCTTACGTGTCCTACAGGTGTTCCAGGAATACCTGTGGAGCTCCAGCTCACCTGTACTGGCAGGTAGGCGGGTTAAAGTCCTAAACGTACGCCTGCTAGGCTGGAAAGGCCACCTGCAGACTTCAAGAGGGGCAGTTTGTACAACAAAGACACCTGAATTACCATGTAACAAGAGAAACAATGGTGGAAGGAAAGTTTTTGTGCATATTTTTTTTATTCTACATTTTATAAATGCCCCGAAAATGTTTTAAACTTATTATACTAAAGCATGTATGTCTTTTAAAAAATTAAATACAGAATATTGCAATTTCAGGAGGTGATAAATAATGATGAATAATCTGAATATGTTATCGCACAAACTCAAAAGCTGAGCTCGTGTTCACTTTCTGATTCTCCAAACAATCTCATCCATCATCAGATTCGTCCCTTCCTTCTCCCCGCTCATCCACGTTCATCTTTATGGTGCTTCATGTGTGAAACACTTCAGGAAGTAGCTAGTGCCCTTCTGCAGCAGGCAACAGAGAGTTATCGATTATTAGACAAAGATCGGTAGCTTTTTGGCTCCAGTCTTTGACGTAAACAACCAGTGACAGCAGAGACATGCAGCTACATTAAAGTTACATGGCTGCACAAAGGCCCTGCATGATCACAACAAGGCGCTAGCTGAAACCAAACCCCTCCGTGAGCTGCTGGTTCTGGGCTCATGCCAGGTGTTTGGTAAACAGGTGTTGGATCCAGACACCTAAAGCCGGCGTGGTCCCATGTGAGCAGGAGTGCAGAACTGGCAGGTCCCAATTTGTTTTTCAAATTTTTCGAGACTTTCTAGACAAATCCAGAATCTGGCTTTGCAAATGAGTCTCCCAAGCACTCATCCCCTTTAAATAACGATCCTTGTGTTTCTCGTTTAAGACGACCCTGAGTCCGACTCCAGATGAACGTGGGACGCATCGACGGTCATAAACGCATTTACGGCCCTAACTGGATTGTTTGCCTACGGGGTTTTTGTGAATCACGATGTACGGCAGAATCCTCGGGCCCACGCAGAACAGCTCAGCGTTGCTCTGGTCAATCATCGACCGGATCATGTACCCGAACCTCGCCTCCTCGTGTAGTCAGATACTGACCATTCACTGGTTGACCTTTACTTTGAAGCATATTTTCAACCTGTGGCTTGTTTTCTTGCCTTTTTGGGTCACTCTGAAGTGTTGCACCAGGTAAATCTTTGTCTTTGCTCGTTTCTCACTGCTTCAACACGCACTGCTTGGTTTCATGCAAAACATTACGTCAAGTACAGAGAAGTCGGGTTAAGTGAAATAGTAACCCCTCAGGCAAATTTTTCTAAGCCGGCAGCTTGAAGGTTTACCTGATGTGCTCTCTGTTCGCTCTGGAGTTTCACGCTGCCCTTGTCTCATACAAACAAAACCCAAACCGTGATCCGGGTTTCGTCTGATTCTTCCAAACTTCACCGAGAGTTCAGGAAGGAGAGAAAACTCCCAACAAAAGCCCGTCTCCGGCTTGTTTTTTTTAGCCTTTTTCTCCTCTCAGACATGTCTTTGTGTAATTGTGTTTTTTAAAGAGTGCTTAACTCTGTCGTGTCGTGACAGCTGTATGTTGCTCAACCTGTCTGAGCAGGGCCCGTATCCCATAATCCTCCCCGAGGCGAGAAAGAGAGCGACGAATGCCGACCTCATGAGAAAGTTGCAGCCGACCATGAACGCCTCGTGGCTCAAGCCGTAGCTGATCTTGGCGAGCACAGATCTTTGTTTTCTGCAGCTCGAGCCTCTGATTACAACTTTAATCAGAAAACTAATGTGATGGTCTAGAAAACGTGTATTTAGTGGTGCGGTCTGACACCAGGAGAGTCGGTGGACGTCATTCGGATTGTCTGAAAGCAGTTCTGTTGTGGTTTCTGTCCATTATTAAAGCAAACATTTAGTCAGAGCTAATGAGCTCTCCTTTGATCCCCAGCTGGTCTGGATCTGATTTAGTCGGCCTGCTGAGGTCAGAAAACAGACTCGTGATGACCCCCCCCCCCCCCCCCCCCCCCAGAAGGAAAATAACGAAACTCAAGGAAAATTATCATAAAATTGTTTACAACGGCAGAAAACATTGAAGCAAACAACATCTCTTTATTTTACACTTTTCTGCGTTGGTTTGGTAGAAATGATTCTTTCATTTGGACTTTTTTCAGTTTTTTTTCTGATTTTCAGCATTTTTAATAGACAAAATAATAAAGGTTTTATAATGATGGTTTTAACAGGAAATCTGAAGACCTCAAAGCGGTGATTTCAGGAGTCAGTTTGTCTGACGAGGAACCACAAGTTGTCCGTTGCTCTCGTTAACATCACTAAAGAATACCTTTCTAATTGCACGACTCCGCCCGATTCGCTCATTTAGCAGAGAGGGAGGAACGACTTTGGGTTTTTCCTGGTTGGAGCCTCACGTGGACTAAAACAGATTCCAGGACAGTTGTTTTACAATTATTCTTTTTGCAGAGTTTTATGAGGCTTCTATTACAAAAGCACTAAATCGTTTGAGTCTTTGGAAAAATTCAGCAACTGTTAAAAAAAAACAAGCAGGAATGTTCCTAAGCGTTCCTCCTCTAACTCGTTTACTCCGAGTGTTTCAGTCCGTCCGTCATTAAAGGTTTAGTTGCTGTTTCTGGTTGATTTTTGCACGGATTTGATTCTAATTCTTTAGTTTTTTGTTTTTCTTACATTAAAAAACAATTTTTTAAAATTTTTAACACTCTAAATTTTTGCTTTTTTTCTTCTTCGTTTTTACATTGAGTGTTTGTTTAAGAACGCTTTTAAACCTAACTTTTAAAGGTGTGGAACACTGATATAACTATTACGAATTATTTCTGATTATAATGGGTCAATCTGAGTTTTTCAAGCAGACTGAACATGAAAATAGTCTCCTACATTTTTTTATTAGCTTTTGGTGGAACTAGGATAGAAACACTGTCACTTAACATTCATGGACTCGCCCATCTTGACTCACGACGGGGAAGGCTGTTGTTGGTTTAGCGTCCAGGAGAACGTCTCTGCTAGTAGAAGCTAACTGTTAGCAACTCCACCACACAGCAGAACTCCTCCAGGCTTGTGTCATTTTTAGAGATAAAACTTCAACATTGCAGATCAGAGTCAGGGGTAGAGTCATTGCTGTTAGCCAATCAGAGGAGAGACGTCTGAAAATCAGGAAATAAGGCTCCAGATCCTGAAGTCTGAAGCTACTTTCTCCTCCACCTGACTTCTAGTTCCTGAAGCAGGAGCATCTGAGCTTTTTACAAGACCTTCAGTCCTACTAGAGACCACTGCAAATGTATTGAGTAAAGGAATGAACCACACCTTTAAAAGTTGTTGGGTTTAAGACTCAAATCAAGATTTGAACAGTTCTCTAATGCGTTCCGCTGCAGTATAAAGGGTTAAATTTCTTGTGTTTTTTAGCCTCGTTTCAAACTCGTAAAATGTCAGAAGTTCCAAAACATTTTGCACTAAAGAGTGTCTTTATTTTTTATTAAAAGTCTTTCCATGCATCACCTCTAAATCTGTTCAGCTATGCAACAATATCCGTATTTATTTATTTTGCTTTAACTGAAAATGTGGGTTTCATGAGCTGCAGACGGCGTAAATTCTCGGGTAACAACCA